GCTATTTAGAAAAAACACCTATATACTGAGGTGGGTAGATGCTTGATGCATGTAAATTTCTTAAAAATGGCCGGGGTGGCTAATTTCAGACTTCGCCGATCACTTGAACAGTGGGCTGATATACGTTTTCCTGTCAGAAGGGGGAATACAAAATGTGACGTTTGGCTTGCTAATAATTTGGGGCAAAAAATCTATCACTTATATTGCTCAAAGTCTTTCATTGTTGAAACTACAGCTGTGCTTTCCAACAACAACAATCGACAGGCCACAGGGCACTGTTGCAAGAGCAACCCTTTTTGCAAAAGCTGTGCTTACATCAGATAGAGAAAACAGACTTCCAGTAAGATTTTGTCTCCCATGTACTGATAGCTTTATTGTAAGGAATTACGACTTATTTGGAAGCGTTCCCTTGCAAAAAGAAAAAGTTGAATTACTGTTTATCACTTCTTTTAGGATTATTATATGTGATGGAACTTTGCTATTTTTTAACGACTTCTCTTCCTATCATTTTTGAAACTAGTATTTCAAAGAGGGCGTGCTACCCTTTCAAGCTTATCGATTTTCTAGAATTTAAACCAACAGAAATATTAATAATATCTTTATTTCTTAATTGCAGGTTTTGACAAACTAAGTTTCGCTCGGATTACCATCAATTTTTGATGGACAAACAGATTTGTGTTTTTCCAGAACCTGAGCACGAGCGAATGATAGATCACAGTAAGTGCATCTGGAAATTCAAAACGTTGGAACTCTGAGAATGTAAAGATAGTAGCAAGTTCTGAATACCTATGCTTTCTGTGAGGGAAATGTGTTTGCTCATGAGCTCTAAGATTGCTACGATCAGCGAAACTCCGTCCGCAAAGTGAACACACGTAAGGTTTTTCTCCTGAATGGAAGTTCAGTAATCGAATTAGGAAAGACCAACCACATTTCGGTTACTTACCTGTGTGAGTCCGTTGATGTCCTTTCAGTAACCATGGTCTGCTAAAACTTTTTCCACATTTCTCGCAAACGCAAGGCAACGAATGTGTTTTTAAGTGCATTTTTAGAGCACCAGGAGACCTGAAGAGAACACTGCAACGATACCCAGCTAAAAAGTCTGTTACTTATTGATGTTAATATCAAAACTTGAATTTAATATCATTGTTTAACTATGGAAATGAAAAACCTTGTCTGAGACAGTAGATTTGATATTCAGGACTCGAAGAGCACAAAATAGATTTGTGTTACAATGTTGGCTTTAATATAAACGCATACAAAAAACTGTCATCAAGCTTCATTGTGTATGAAATCTCTAGTAAATATACTGGACTTTTCAAATCAGTACAGAGAAAGAAATTTTGGTTGCAGATCTACTAACCCAATAGGGCAGTCCGTCTGTTGCACCGAATGCGTATACTACGGCTATAAAGACGATTATTCACGACTGAAATTTGCCAATAAGGAAAGCATACTTAGTAACCGTAACTTTCCAAAGCAAAAGGTATATCACGAAATGCATGAAGCACTGTTTTCAAGCATTTACACCTACTAAGCGATTTTTAAGTTATGAATTTTTCCGCAAAAAAATAGCTTGCATAATCTGCCATTAGTGATCTAGAAAAATTCCAGAGAGTGGGAATATGTTTATTGCTAGGACTTATCTAGGCAACAAATGAGCTTTA